GGGGGGGGGGGGGGGGGGCGGGTAGGACTGACTTGTTTGGGAACACACTGTTTTTCAACTCTGCTGAGCGCATTGTTTTTTCAGCCCTGGATTGAACTTTTCGGAGCTTCCACGGGTCTACGGTCATGTGGCCAGATCGCTGCACGAGTATTTTCTGGAGTATTTTCCCTTTGCTTCTCTTACGTGTGTCTGCAGAATCACCAGGAACCTGTTTTCTTCCGTGTTAGAAAGTCTCCCAGGATTTTTAATCTTGCCTCAAACCAGGAGATGGAGTGGGATGAGCCACAGGGTGGCCACCAGGGGAAGTGGATTTGAGTTTCCATCTCCCCCCAAAACTGGCCGCGTGACCTCGATACACCCCTTGATCTCTCTGGGCCTCAGACTGTGAAAGGAGAGAACTGGCCCAGACCAGGTGTCACTAGCCAGCTGGCCTGCTAAGGACTGTGGTTTGGCCCACACTTGGTTGGTCAATGTCGTGGCTGCTGGGGGGTGGGGTGGAGAACGCATTCTCCAGTGCCCCACCCCGTGGCCCCCCACTTCCTCTGCTGAGTGATCAGGAGGGCTCAGGGCACTGGGAGGTGAGACGTTTCAGTCCACAGAGGCCTCTCTGTGCCGTGGATGTAAAGTGCTCCAGTTAGTGAGTTTCAGTGTGTGTGTGAGGGGGGGGTGGGGTGTTTTCCCTGTGGTCCTCCCATTGTGTGTGCATGGGAAGCCTAACCCGCAGGTGGGTCATCAGGGCCCGGCCCCAGCCCACAGCCACACCCACCACCAGAGCAGGGACTCCTCTCTTATCTCTACCCCCGCCCTCCCCCAATCCACTGCCCAGTCAGCTCCCAATTTCCCCTCCAGATTTCATATCCTCTTTTCGTTCCTGCCCACACCTGTCAGTGGAATGTTCCAGAAGAACCACCTGGCTGAGTGGCCCCCAAGCACATGCAAAACAGACAGGCTTTGCTTGTAGCTGTATATAACTCAGGGTGTCAAAAAAATAAAAATAAAAATGCTGCGTACTTCAAAAGTGTTCACAGACACGGGGCCCAGGAAGGCCCAGCCAGTGGCTTCATTGGTCATTCATTCCCCATTCGAAGTGAGGGTTAAAGTGAGGGTTAACTCACGCGTGACTTGAGCGTCTCTGCTGAGAGGGAACCACAACACATTCCGTTTCTAAAAATACCGAGTGGGCAGAGCCTTGCGGAGAAGCACCTGGCGGGGAGGCCAGACCGCGGAATGTCACACGGATGCAAGGCAGCGGCGGAAGGACAAGTGGTTTTCATGCCGGAGAGCTACAGAATGAAACGGGGGGTGCTCGGGGGGGTCCCGTCTTGGAGAAAGGTGGGGTGGGTGAAAGTGAGGAGGTTTGGGAAGCAAGGCCAAGAGCCTGCCCACAAGGAACCAGAGCTGGGGCCACCCTTACAGGCTGGCACGATGGGTGTGGTTTGGTGGGGGCAGGCTGGCCCGACCAGGTTGGAGAGAAGAGGGTTGGAGGGGTGAATGGAGAGGCCGGTGAAGGGGAAAATTGACCGAGTTGAATAGGAGGGCTGAGCAAGCAGAAGTGAGTTCCTGGAGGAGATGAAAAAGTCCCACCACTTAAACAAGGCTGTTCCTGTAAATGATGTCGTAGTCGCCCGCATCTTTGCCTACGTGCTAGGCCTGGCCTGCAACCAGCGTGGGGAAGCTGGGTGTTTTGCGAGGGAAGAAAAAAAAGAAAACTGACACACGACAAAAATGCCCCTTACCAGTACAGGAAGGAGTCTGCGTGCATGAAAACATACTGTGAAACATAAAAGAGATGCATTCTTTTTTCTTTTCTCTTGGAAGTAAAATGCCAGCGGCACTCAGAAGAGGGAGGACAGGTAGCTCTGACGGGAAATGTGGGCTTCGGAGGTTAGCTGGGCCTCAGAGTGCAGCCGCCGTGTGGATCACAATCGTTTTCTAATCCAGCCTCCTGGTGAGGGACATCTGACTGTTCCAGCAACAGGTGCTGCGACGAATACAGCTGCCATCAGCATTCCCATGCAAGCCTCTAATTTCTTTTGGGTAAATCCCTGTGAGTGCAATGGCTGTTATAGGGTGGGTGGGTGTTTAACTTTATGAGAAACTTCCAGACCATGTCCACAGGGGTGTCCTACCAGCCACCTAGGAGAGTTCTGATCGCTCCATATCTTCGCCAATACTTGGTGTTGCAGAAATTCACTTTAAAAAAGAGTTCCTGCCCGGCCGGTGTGGCTCAGTGGTTGAGCATTCACCTATGAACCCGGAGGTCACGGTTCGATTCCCGGTCAGGGCACATGCCCAGGTTTTGGTCTAGATCCCTGGTGTGGGGTGTGCAGGAGGCAGCCGATCCATGATTCTCTCTCATCGTTGATGTTTCTCTTTCTCTCTCCCTCTCCCTTCCTCTCTGAAATCAATTTTTTAAAAAGTTCCTTAGTGATTATTTCACAGGTAGGCTCGGGAGCCTGTGTACTGGGCTCATAGTTCCCTAAATACTAATGGTTAACATTTCTGAAGCACTTCCTGAGTGTCTGTATCTGTCCCTGGACCTTTAACGCTGTCCTATCATTTAAGCCTGAGCACCCTATGAAGTCAATTCTATTCCTCTCCTTCCTATTTTAAAGATGAGGAAATTAGGCGCAGAGCTTAAGTAACTTGCTGAAGGTCACACCGCTCCTAGGAGGCAGAAGCTGGGTATGAAAACAGGCAGTCTGGCTGAGCCCATGAGTTTAACCACTGAGCCCACACAAGTCCTGTATACAGGTACCCTAGGGGCTTACTCATAATTGCTACCATTACTATTGTTATTCAAATGTCACCCTTCCTCAGAGCTCCAAGTTCACCTCTGCCATCAGGTTTTCTCTGTCTCACCCCTCTTCTTCTCTGTCTCTTGAAATCCCTGGATGGAATCATGAGTCCTTCGGAAATGTAAGGCGAGTTTGGGGTTGTCTTTTATTTTTGTATTTTTGTACAGTCTTATCACCGAGCCCAGGGTCACTGGTGTTTATCCTTCTATTCCTGGCACGCCTGTTGACTTGAATTTTATGTTTGTCTAAAGGTGCTAGAGGCAAAGCACCAAAGAGCTTTCCAAGGGGCTGCTAGCTCCTTGGGACATAACCCTCGGGAATCATAGACATTGGATTGCCGTTTCCCTTAGGGGGCGCGGGGGGGGGGGGCACCC